CAATGCCCCTAACTTTGCACTTACACCACTTTGGCAAATGAAGCTCTGAGAAGTCCTGCAGTCAAGAAAGCCACTTACCTTTGTTTAGCCCAGTGTTTCCTAAGGGCACCTATGCACAGAACCCTTTTTGTTCACAATACCTCTGAGTTACGAAGTAGCCAAGGGTAGTAAGAGCTCAGCCTCTACAAACAGTCTACCTGGGTCTGATTCCTGGCTCAAGCCCTTGCTAATTATAAGTGGGCAGGTTACCTAACCTCTCTCTGCTCTTTTCTCCAAAACGTAAAATGAGAACAGTGCTTACCTGGTAAAAGTTGTGAGGACTGAATAAGATAAGGTACAGCACAATGCCTGGCACATAAAAAGTGCCTGGTCAACATGAACATGTTTTATTATGATGTTAGTGGACTGGGGGAAGAGACAAGACACCTGTACACAAAGCCTCCTAATGTTGAGTGTCGTTACCTTCACACATTGCACCAGTGATTCTTTTCCCTGTTCTCCTCCTTTCCTGGGAAGCTGCCCTTCAGCATCTAGGTCTGAGAATGGCCACCGGTCCAACCTAGCTGGCAAGGAGGGGCGTGTTTTCAGCAGTCCAGAGGAGACCCCGAGGGCCTGGCTGCTCCCCAGACTGCCTTCCCCTGCGGAGTCCTGGGCACGGATGAAGGAGCGCAGGAAACAGGGGTTCTGGCCCTCAGGATCCCCAGATCCTCGGAGGGCAGCTCCAGGAGGCAGCTGACTTTGGCTGCAGCTTGAAGGGAGGGAAGCTGGCCCATCACTGTCTGACACTTCCAGGGGGCTCTGCCCTTTAATATCCCCAGTGGGCAGGGTAACCAAGGTAGAAATGGATCCTAGATACGAAACCAGGCTAGAAACCTGTGTCAGCCGAGCGGGCAGGGCAAGATACTCGTCGTCACTTTCCACTTCCTCTTCTGATTTCCACCTAGACTCTGTGCAGGTAGGGCGCCGGGCACTCTGGCTGCTCCTCTTCTCCCTCTCTGGACTGGGCAAGGGCCACCCTCTGTCCTGTGTCCTTAGCTGAGGAGAGCCCATATCAAGGTGCTTGCCTGCAGCCAGCCGGTCCTTCGCGCCCCTCAGGGCTGGCTCTCTGCGCTCCCAAGGAGCATCCCTACTGCCTGGGGCTCTGGGGGTAGATGCAAGTTGGCTCCAAGATGCCAAGCCCATGCCACCCTGTTTCTGGGGTACTCCAGAGGGCCACTGCTTAAGGTTTGGTTCTCTGGGCCCAGAAAATGGAAGGGCAGTGGCCTCCGCTGTTGGGCAGTTGGGGGAGACATTAGTAGGTGATTTGAGGGTGCTTGCCGGAGAGACAGAGAAGCTATCCAGGTCTACGCCAGAGTCCTGCAGGACAGGGTCAGCCGGCACACGGCTATCAAGGTGCTTTGGAAGCTGAGGCCTGGGCCTCAGTGGGTAAGTATAGTCAAGCAGATCTTCATACTCTTTATTTGGGTTCCAGAGAGGGGAGTGGCGGTCGGGTGACGGAGGCAGGGAATCTGGCAGCACACAGGCCCAATATTCAGCCTGGAAGGACAGGCGTCTCCTGCCTAGCCCAGAAGCATCACCCCCAGAGAACACAGGCTGTGGTGACCACTGGGGCCGAGGTCCTAGCCCCACCACAGAGGAGGGTTCCTGGGGGACGACCAGCTCCAGGGAGGAGGAGACCTTGGCCAGAGGACCACCACGAGGCTCCGCCTTCTCTTGGTGACCCTGGAGACTGCTGCCTGTGGAGGAAGCAGAGACGCTGCAGACAGAAGGCTGAGGAGCTGTGGAACCTGGACTCAGCACGGACTTCCACTGCGACAGGCAAGAGAGACCTGAGCTGTGAGGCTGCTGGCTGAGGTCCAGTGCCTGGGGCAAATCCACTGGGGATGGATCATCTTCGGTATCAGCATCACGTCCTGAGCAAATAGTTGTTCTGGGAAGGCTCAAAGTCTGAGGGAGCTCCTCGGAGGCAGAAAGCTTGGTCTTCTCCACCTGCAATGATCAAAGGGATAAAAAGCACTTGGGTGAAAATCAAACCCAATTTCTTTCTTAGACGACAACCCAGGAGTTTCCTTGCGGGTCTAGACAGTATTTAGGAAAGATCTTAAAATGAAAAGTCTGCTGCCTGAGGCAAGAACCAGGCAGTGTGCACTGCCAGCAGGAGCACTGAGACCCTGCCTGTCTGGGAAGCAAGGTGACTTGACTCCCATCTCCAGTCCCCTCCAAGGTTCTTCCTCCACCAGTATCCAGGGTGTGAGCGAGCAGAACTCGGACAGCTCTGTCATGCTGAAGCTGGAATACAGTCCAGTACCTCTGAGAAGCACCTCCTGGCAGACGAAACCTTCAGTCATTCTGTCGCTAACAGGACATGTCCAAACCCAGGAGGTCGCCCCAGGCCCCATCCTGCTCAGTTCACAAGCCAGTGGTAACTGAACACTAACAGAATGACTGGTTCATCTCTGCTTCTTCACTGGATTTTTATCTGCTTGATGAAGAACTCAACCCTGAGGGAAGCAGGACAGCACAGCGTTGCTCCAAACATGGGTTTTGGAGCTAGACAAACCTGAGGCCAGTCCCTGACTTTGCCATCTTCCAAATGTGTAACTTCAAGCCTCACTCTCCTCCCCTCATGGCACCAGCTCCTCAGAAGGTAAGGATTAAATACACCCATGTGTGCAAAGCACATGATAAGAGCTTAACAAACAACAGGAATTCTAATAATATGCACCAGACTCATCCTCATGAAAGGCCATTTCTGTGTCTGTTTATTATTTGCTTCCTGCCTCACTGAATCTCTGACTCACAGGTGCCAGAGCCTCCCACTGCCCCTTGCTCCCAGGCAGGTGGGGCCCAGCCTCTGTTCTCTCCCAGTCCCTCTCAGAACCTCCTCACAGGATGCAGCTCCACAAGGGGACCGTGCAGCAGCCAAGGCTACAATGACACCGAGAAGATCAAAGCCATTCTCAGGAAAGGCCTTGGCAAGCAGAACAGAAAAGAATGTAAGAGCTGGGCAGAACAGATCATTCAGGTCACCTCCCAATGATGCTGAGGGCCTAAAAGATCTGGTGATTTGCCTGAAGTCACAGAACCTGGTAGGATTCCCTGCCCCATGTGACTCCCACTAGGAGAAGCTGCCTGGCAGTCAGAGAAGCCCAAAGAATTCTCCTTAACCAGGGACAGTGCTGCCTACTACAGGGCTCCAAGGTTCTGACATGTCCCTTGGGTCTGAAGAGGATGTAGTTCAGAGGCCCCAGGAACCCAAAGCCCTGGACACACCTTTCCCAAGTCTCTTCAGGGTACCCCTAAAGCCTTTAGATCACCAAGTCAGAAACAGTACAGGGCTCCCCTTGCCAGAATTCCCCTGGCCTACACCTCTGGGCCACAGCCTCTTGGCCATACAATCCCTGGTCCTCAAAAAGTCACCAGTCACTCTTCAGGAACAGGAGATACCGTGGACAGTCCCCCCCCCGGCTGGTCCTGAGGCCCAACTCTCCAGCTGAACCCACAAAACAGAAATCATCATACTCAGGCCCCTCTAATTCCTCACCCTGCACAGTGGCCAGGAAAGGATGCGAGATGGTGAGGAAATCCTAGAACAAACTCCCAAAGGACAGCAACGGGTCCACCTACAGTCTTGCCTTAGTACCTACCTGGCTTTCCCCAGAGAGCAGAAGGTCTCCAGACCCCATGGTGGTAGGAGGCAGGCCACCGAGTGCAGGCTCAGACCTCTCAGCTACGGGCTCTCTGCTGGCGTCACTGGCCTGTGGCTGGTGGGCTCTAGAGAGGCCGCCAGGGTCAGTCCCAATCCAGCAAGCAGGGGCAGGTATCCCTTCTGCCCCCCATACAGGGGAGATGAGCCCTCCCTCAGCGTCCAGGTGTGGGGGCTGCTCCCCACTCACAGGCCCTGGGGTATCCAGTTCCCGCTCCCCGCAGTTCCCTCTCCCATAAGACTGGGCCTTTGTGTCTTCAGATGCTTCCGCTTCTGCCTTTTCTTCACCCAGGGCCATTGAGACTCCCTACCTAGGTCAGGGTTCTGCTGAAGACTTCAGCTTCCTACAAAACAGGGGAGGGGAGAGAAAAATATAAATCTTCTGCATCTGTGTTCAGGAAGCCTTGTTTTTTAACAATTAAGGCAAACATATTTTTGGCCAAAGGAAAAAGGATACAAATGATGACTACTTCCTCAGAGGAGCACCGAGTTCCGGCTTTTCCCCGGCCTCAGACCTTTCCAAAGGGGACACAGAAGCACACCATTTTCCCCTCTGCTTTCATAGTGGATGGTGCCATCCCCACCAGCAGACACCCAGGAGGGTCAACACAGGTCCAAAGTCCAATCAAGGCTGGGGTCCTGCCTAAGTCACCTTTTTGCCCTTTTAGCCCAACCCCACTGGAAAAGAGTCCTGGTGGGACCCTTCCTGTGCACAGGCCCACAGTGGTTCTGTTGTCCTAACAGTCCCCTCAGAAAGCAACTCAAGCCTGGCTCTGACTGTTGTATCCTAGAGAACAGCAAGTCAGGCCATGCCCAGGCCTCAGCTGGGCACTGGAAGAATGCCCCCCAAGATGCTTGGCTCTGCCTGGCAGAGGAGGCAGGACCCTCTTTTTTCTTTTTTTCGAGACAGGGTCTTACTCTGTTACCCAGGCTGGAGTGCAGTGGTGTGATCTCAGCTCACTGCAGCCTCGACCTCCCCGGGCTCAGATGATCCTCCCACCTCAGCCTCCTAAGTAGCTGGGACTAAAGGCACAGGTCACCACACCTGGCTAATTTTTGCATTTTTTGTAGAGACGGGGTTTCACCATGTTGCCCAGGCTGCAACCCTCTCAAAGCACAGAAACCACATCCAGGCTGTGGAACAGGTAAGGGCTTCTTGTTCCAAGGATAGCCAGTGACCAAAGAGAAAGATCAGCAACTCTCCTCAGGCTGGCCTGGGTTATGCTGCACCTGACGACGGAGGGAAGCTGTGGAAAGCTGGTGGCTAACAGTGGTAGGGTAAGTGTAACACGGCATGTATGCACATGAGAGTGAGAGCCAGGCGGCAGGCAGGTAGGCGAGGGAGCATAGGCAGAGCACTCAGGGAAGGATGATGATTTGGGAGCTGAATCTGCAAACAGGACCATTCCAATACAAAGAGGTTCAGGAACAACAGAGCGACACCACCCTCTCAGCCTAAGCATGCCAGCAAGAGCTGGTGCTGGGAGCCGTGGCGGGATGGGGCAGGGGGCCAAAAGGCCAACAGGAGGAAGACTAACGCTGGGAGGACATGGAAGGGGAGGTGACGGAACCGTGAATGCCCAGGATGTCGGCAGCTACCTGGAGTGCACTGGGTCAATCTCAAAGCTTAAGTGTGGGCAGAAATGGCCTTGTTTCCTCAGACAGGAAGCAAAGAGATGGTAAGAGGAGACGCTGGTGGACAGCCTGCAAAGGCGGGAGTGGCTGTGGCTGCGGGCTCATCCTACTCAGCTCGCACACTGGGAAATACCACCTAGATGGGCACTGCACACACTGAGGCCTCCTTGCACTGGGATCCAAGAGGCCCCTTCCCTACCCTGCCTGATGGAGAATGCCAGGCTCCAGCCTGATTCAGAGGTGACCATGGAGGAGAGCATGCCCTTCGCATGGACTCTCGTCTAATTCCCACAACCACCAGGTGGGGCAGGAACTAATCAGAAAAACAATTATTTTTGAGTGGTAATATACAGCTCAAATGTAAAATGCACAGTAGATATAAGTCTCTCTCTGCCCTTGTCCCCCATTCCTTTGCTAAAATGAGCCAGGGCAGGCAGAGCATCTATGACAGTGCCTGGCATGGTGTGGACACTAAGTGTTGGCTATTGTCATTAGTGTCATGGGGAGGCATCAACAGAATCAGTGTAACAGGCCACCTTACAAGGAAGGACAAAGGAGCCAAACAAGAGAAAAAGCAGCCCATTTTAAAATAGAAATCAAACAAAATATTTACTACTAGATACTCCCACAAAAACAGGGAACCAGCCTCACTAGTTTTGTGTATGACTCTTGTTTCCTGATGCGAACACTATTTCATCCTTCCCTCCCCCCTTTTTTTTTTTCCTGGAGACTGAGTCTTGCTCTGTCACCCAGGCTAGAGTTCAGTGGCGTGATCTCGGCTCACTGCAACCTCCACCTCCCGGATTCAAGCGATTCTCCTACCTCAGCCTCCCGGTAGCTGGGACTACAGGCGTGTGCCACCACGCCTGGCTAATTTTTTTGTATTTTTAGCAGAGACAGGGTTTCACCATTTTAGCCAGGCTGGTCTTGAACTTCTGACCTCAGGATATCCACCCATCTCCCAAAGTGCTGGGATTACAGGCATGAGCCACTGCACCACGCTTATCCTTCCCTCACTTTTTTAAAATATAAAAGTAGCAAACTGTATGGGTCATACTATTCAGAACGTTGCTTTTCTTTTCTCTACAAAAAATGTCCAGGGGATCATTCCTAAGCAGTACAGCAGGTCCTTCAGTAACATCACTTGGTCCAATGTCTTTTTTTTGGGACCTTGAGTCTCGCTCTGTCTCCCAGGCTGGTGTGCAGTGGTGCAATCTCGGCTCACTGCAACCTCTGCCTCCTGGGTTCAAGCAATTCTCTTGCCTCAGCCTCCCAAGTAGCTGGGATTACAGGTGCCCGCCACCACACCTGGCTAATTTTTCTATTTTTAGTAGAGATGGGGTTTCACCATCTTGGCCAGGCTGGTCTTGAACTTCTGACCTCGTGATCCACCTGCCTCAGTCTCCCAAAGTGCTGGGATTACAGGCGTGAGCCACCGCACCTGGCCAATATTTGTATTTTTAATAGAGATGGGGTTTCACCATCTTGGCCAGGCTGGTCTTGAACTTCTGACCTTGTGATCCACCCGCCTCAGCCTCCCAAAGTGCTGGGATTACAGGCATGAGCCACACTGCCCAGTCGGTCCAATGTCTTCTCATTATATCACTGATGAGAAGAAACCCTGATTCCTGGCTGAGGTCATTGTCTGTATGGAGTGTACACATTCTCCCCATGTCTGCTTGGATGATATCCAGTTTATCTGGATACTCAGGTTTCCTTCCACATCCCAAAAATATATACTTAGGTGAATGGGGCTGACTAAATGGTCCTGGTCTGAGTTGGTGGTATATGAGTGAGTGCGCCCTGCCATGGGATGACGTCCTGCCCATGACTGGTTCCCGCCTTACACCCTCAGCTGCTGGGACAGGCTCCAGCCACCTGCGACCGTGAACCCATTTGAATAAGCAGGTAAATCATAACCTTGTTTTTTTTTTTTAAGATGAAGTCTCGGTTTGCCACCCAGGCTGAAGTGCAGTGGCACGATCTTGGCTCACTGCAACCTCTGTCCCCTGGCTTCAAGCCATTCTCCTGCCTCAACCTTCTGAGTAGCTGGGACTACAGACACTCACCACCATGCCTGACTAATTTTTGTATTTTTAGTAGAGATGTGGTTTCACCATGATGGCCAGGCTGATCTGGAACTCCTGACCTCAAATGATCCGCCCTAGTTGGCCTCCCAAAGTGCAGGGATTACAGGCATGAGCCACCACGCCTGGCTCATCTTACTTGTTTTTATTCATCTTTCATAAATGTATGTACAGCTCACATTTATTTCAATATTTAATTTAGAAGTATTTTACAGTTTATTTAGAAGTTTGATGATGCTTTCATACCCAGAAATATGCCATAGGAGCTTAACTCTTATTTATATCAATTAGACTATGGTAAAATTGGTTTCTTCATATGTCCTTTCAAGTGGCAGAGTCTCGGTTTCCAAAAACCTACTGATGACATCAAGTGAGGACTTATTGTACACAGAGAGCTTCCTCTTTCTTTTTCATTACTGCCCAGTGCTGTATTCTGGTGCAAGGACGCACTAGTTTATTTCACCAGTCCCTTATTAGTGGACATCTGGGTTATTTCTAGTCTTTTTTGCTAGTCCAAACAATGCTATGATGAGTCACTATGCACACGCATATGTGTTGGCACATCCTCAGCATAAATTGCAGAAGTAGAGCTGCTTAGGCGAAGGGTGCCCACGGGCATGCTTTTGGCACACACTGCTGAGTGGCCCTCTGCACTCCACCAGCACATGTGAGGGCCAGTTCCCACGGGAGCCAAGGTCTTTAATCCTCATGTCACAGATGGGGAAATGAAGGATCCGAGCAAGACAAGTCCAGGACTGCCCAACTCCAGAGCCCAAGATGTTTATGAACCAAGTGAGGAATAAGCGATCAAACAGTTAAGCCACAAAGCAGAAGAGGGAGAAGACTGGTAGAGGGACAATGAGAAGAGTGACAAGTCTTGCTGCGACAGAGATCTTATGGAGCCATATCCTCACCTGGTGGCTCCTTAAGAAACTGCACATGAAGATGTTTACAGGCAAGGTGTGTTTTCACAACTAGGGGAACACGCTGAGCCCTTGAGCAGGGTGAAGGCCGGGTATAGCCCATAATTCCCAAATGCTACTTCTTGCTCCGTTTCTAAAAACTCTCTCAATGGCCAGAGATCCTCCACACCCCTCACTAAAGGGTGCGGTCTTGAGACAGGGTGCCGGAATAAGATGATGGTGGGGCAAGGGAGGGGTGCAAACAAATTATCCCTTTGTTTTGATGATGTAGTCTTTATTTATCTTGTCTGGACCTCATTATTCAAAAAAAAGAAGGTATCTATTTATCCTGGAGAGATGGGGAGTGGTGAGCTATTACAAACTATTAATTTGACATCCCTAAGTAACTTACAAGGATACACACAAACCTAAACTAGGTTAGTGGTGTGGCCAAAGCCCCTTCAGTAACCAGGTAAGAAGGTCTGAAATTCAATGATGCTCATGGAAATGGTGCATCTGTAACGACGGAATGAAGGTAGTTACTCTCTCAGACTGGATAAAGAGTCCCTTCCTAATTTTATTAATCTGCCTGATAAACCATGCTTTTCCGCCTGTACTATACAAGTTTATTATGAGAACCAAGACAGACACGTGTGAAAGAAAATGAAAACCAATCTATAATGCATTCAAAACTGTCTATGAAATGTTACCAAAATGCAACGAAAGGGAGAAATCAGTTGGGATAAATATAATCGGGGAAAACTTCCTGAATTAATGACTGAAGACAAACCACTTTTAAAACAGCAATCATACTGAAGAAAACACTGGCCCAGGCTACGATAAACGCACAAGTTTTGGATTCCTAGGACTCAACTCTGTCTGCATCTGCCAGGTGGCCATCCGTTAACACTGCAAGGTCTGGTGTTCATTTCCATAGATCCAAGATTTTACATATCATTACTTCTAACCCTCTGGGGTAGGGATGGAGGGGACAGATTCGGTTTGGAACTTTTAATAAGAGACAGCCTATCCTTCTCAGACTGGTGAACAACACTTGTTGTGTTGGACCCACAATGTCTCCCAGGTCATCAGCTTTAAACAATCTCCTAATGTGGGGCCTCCTGTTCTCGGATCACACATTTTACAGTGTCCTGGAGGCTAGTAGCTCCACGATGGGGCACAGGCCCCAGTCTCCTCCCAAATGAAGAAAGTGCCAGGAGGTTGGACTGAATGACAGGAGGCATCAGAGCACAGACAATGAACTCAACCCTCTCCTCTGAGAAAGGTCTGTACACACCAGAACTGCCTTGTCCTTTGTCCAAACCAAGAGACAAGGCACATAAGCTTCAGGATATTCTAGGGACCATCTGGACTTCACTATTAAAATTCTAGTTTCCAGAACCTGAAGAGGCTGTATGATCCACTAGATATAATTAGGAGTGATGTAGACTTGGCTTACTCTCACCCTACAGTAAAAATACGCCCACAGATCATGCATGTGGTAACACAAACTCTAAGCCTGGACATCTGACCCTTCTTGGTATATGCTGCATCACCCTAGGACACTCCTGTCACAGCTGCCGGGCCTCCTCCCACTCACTTCTGTCCAGGATGGAGAGAGGAGGACTGGGAACCGTGGGAGGGGCAAGGCTCTGCTCTTGCTCTTGACTAAACCCCTCAAACAGATGAATGATCAACTAGAGAGCAA